TTGCCATTCATTGCAAAACTGATTTCAAACACAGGTTCGTGATCCCTAAGCTCTCCTTAGGATCAGGAAATGGAAATGAAAGATTTAGATCTGAGTAATATGTGCGGGTAGTGCTGTGGGGACTTGGGTGGCACTGTGGGCTAAACTACAGAGCCTAGGGCTTGCCGATCGGAAGGTCAGCGGTTTGAATCCCCGAGACGGGGTGAGCTCCTGTTGCTCAGTCCCAGCTCTTGCCAACCTTCGTTCAAAAGCATGAAGTGCAAGTAGATAAATAGGTAGTGCTGCTGTGGGAAGGTAAACGGCGTTTCCGTGCGCTGCCGTGGTTCGCCAGAAGTGGCTTAGTCATGCTGCCCACATGACCCGGATGCTGTCTGTGGACAAACGTTGGCTCCCTCGGCCAGTAAAGCAAGATGAGCGCCGCAACCCCAGAGTCGTCCGTGACTGGACTTAGTGGTCAGGGGTCTCTTTTCCTTTACCTTTAATATGTTCATACTGATAACACATCACCAAATCTTTGGCTCAGCTGCCTCCCTAAAAGAAGCACCTATTTTCTTCTTAAGTCATGGAGTTTTCAGTAGCCAAGAGCAAGGGTTGAGCACACCCAGTCAGCTTGAATTCTCCATTTCTCTCTGTGCTGAGGTTGAACTAGCTGAAAGGTATTCACAAATGAGGGAATCAGAGGTATATCCAGAGATGATCCTGTTAGAACTTAAGTGTTCAACTTGGCATGCATATAAATGTCTTTATGCACAAAGTATTTTGAAAATTGGTCATAGCCAGCTATGAAGGGTTTGGGTAACTCCCTCAAGGGCCTGATTGTAATAAGCTTCTCACCACCATTTAGCAGAATAAATTAGCAATTTGAAATGGGAAGATTAACAGGATGATACAGAAAATGCCTGCAGGGTCACATATCTTAGCGAGAGTAAAGGGGCCTGATTAGAAGACTAAGAAATAATACCTCTAAAAATAAATCACAAAGCTTAAAGAATGTAACAGTTACCTTGGTTCCACAAAATGAGAAACAATACCTTCAACTGGTTTTTAAATGAAAGCAAGTTTTAAAGGCACACATAATTATGCTTTAAAATTAATTTCTTCCCAATCCCAATTTGGGATATAACACAGGATCCTCTGCTCCACTTGCCTCAGCTTCACTGATCCCTGACCCCTGTTAGGTTTGCTGTTATTCTTCTTATTCTGGACAGCTAGTCTAGCATGAATGCTCCCAACAACAAAAAAAAATGATGGCTTGCAGTCCAATTAGCATGATTTCTGTTGCCACTGATTCTTTCTTTCTCCTGAAATCCAGCGGGTTTGCTCCCTCAGACTCAGCTAAACAACCCACCAGCTGTTTAACCAGTATACATATATTCTAGACAACTACCTTTGAATGAAAATTCTTTGTACTTTCTTCTAAAAAGACCAATTGGTCTGAATGAAAGAATATGTTATCTCACTTGCTGTATGTTTTTTTCGCAGTGAAATGTCTTGTTATTAAATTCTCCACAGACCCTTAGAGTTCAGGTACTTGTAACAGCTTCAATTTCTTGGCTCAGGTAACCTATTACTGAAAAAGGGTTCTAACATTTAAAACAATGTGGGAATAGCTGTTCTCATTAAATACTGTCAGTCAGTGTGGGGTGAGTTATTATGCAAAATACATATCAAGAACTGGACAGAAATCACAAAACCGACTTCAATTATAACCTCTGCTTGAGCCTATCAAAAAGCAACTTCCCGGAATGGAAAGATTTCAAGGGCAAATGTTATTTATATTCCACTTTTAAGACCAGGAGAGAGGATTAGTTATCAAATACTTCGTTAACCAACATTCTGGCATGTGCACAACTTCTGCAAATGGTCTTTAGACAATTGTAAGGCAATGCTGCCTCTAACTTCTAAAGGTCATCTTGGATTCCCTCCTCCTCTAGTAAGTGAGGAATACTATTCCCTAAGCACATGCAACTTCCATCCAGCATTGGTAGTAGTTTATCTCCTTCCTCTTTCCCATGGGCTGCTTCTTCCATGACTACTGCATCTGGTTGGTCTCCTCTTTTGATGGGGTAGGAAAGTGTCTTGAAGATGGCATGGTGGACTCATCCTATGGCTCTAGGAACCTGCATTCAATATGTATATCCACCACCATTTTGGTGCAACCCTTCTTCCACTGATAGTGCCGGAATATGAAGCTGGCAGTGTATTTTGAATGGAATAAATGTACAATAGGCTGTTTCTAAATTGTACTCTGAATTCAATTCAGGAGCATGACTCATTGGAAAACTAGAAAACGTTTCACAGATTTTAGAAAAGAAAATGCCCAGATAACTCCTAGAATGTGGTCTTTCTTAGATCCCTTGTGCACAATACAATTACACTGGAAGAGCTTCTCATTCTCCGTGCCAAGAAAACACTGAAGTTCAGCTTTCACCATTCTAGACTGTTGCTTCATCTTGAAAACTGCATATCATAAACAGATCTGGCAACCAAAGCTCTTAGACACATAGCCCTGTCAGCCAGCAGACATGAATGATGGGGCTAATAAATGCCTCTGCTCCAAACGCTTTCTAAGAAGCAGAAGATGGAGCCAGAATGCAAAGGCAGCAAAGCATAAAGGCTTCTACATCAATCCGAGCCAAGAGTGCTTTATGCTACTGAATTCAAAACTATTGTATGGGCTGTTGTTGTTGTGTGTATAACACTAAAACAAAATGAAAGCAACGGGAAAGCGCAACTGAAAACTGAAATAATCCAGAACAGAAAACCAAAACAGAAGAATGAACAAAAGCACATGAACACATGAGTTAAGCTTCTTGCAGAATGGCAGGAGAGATGGAACCAAATACAGTGGTGCCTCGCAAGACGAAATTAGTTCGTTCCACGAGTTTTGTCGTCTTGCAATTTTTTTCGTCTTGCGAAGCACGGTGTCGGGAAAGTTTTGGAAAAGCTTCAAAAATCACCAAAGTCTTTAAAAACCTCAAAAAAGGCTACCACACCTTGTTTTATGAGTTGCTCCTCAAAGTCAAGTCGCAACTGTATTAACGGTGTTAAGAAAAAGGAAACAAACTTGCAAGACGTTTCCGTCTTGCGAAGCAAGCCCATAGGGAAAATCGTGTTGTGAAGCAGCTCAAAAAACAAAAAACCCTTTCATCTAGCATGTTTTTTGTCTTGCGAGGCATTCGTCTTGCGAGGTACCACTGTATGCAGTCTTGGAGGAATGGCTGGTGACAGCTTTGAGAAACCCTTGAGAAGATGGGTCCCCTCATGGATCTGTGAGGTTCCAGTAGGCTTACCTGATGGTGAAACTAAGTTGTCTTTGAGTTGTGGAAAGGTGTCTAGAAGTCTTCAATTTTGTTTCCCCAAATACCTTCCAAATAGTGTCACTCTGGGGCATTATAGGGAATTAAAATGGTGGCCTGTTGTCAGAAAACAGTTGATAAAAAGGGTGAAAGCTGCCAACAGGTGACAGGTGCTGACACCAGGCCTTCATTGAAGGGTGGTCTGCTCCTGCAAAGTAATGACTGAGCAGGTGCTTCTTCTTGGGATGCCAATGCTTCAGAAACTGCAGGAAGGTTCAAAACAGATTCCCTGAGATCACCGGATCCAGACAATAGAGGATTTTGTGAGCAGTAGCCCCAAACACATTGGCAATTCCACATATCACACATTTAAAGCACATCCCCTCGGCCCACACAAAAGAACCCTGGGAACTTTAGTTTACTCTTCACAGAGCTACAATTACCAGTAGTTTTATCAAACCACAGTTCCCAGGATTAGTGGTGGTTTTGCATTGGTGTGTGTGCATTAAATGTATGGTGTGTAAGCAGCCACTACCCAGCTGCCACATTCATCACCAGCTACTGCTTCTGAACAAACCTTAAGGGAAGCCCCATATAAGATGAAGAAGAATAGCCTAGTATTGAGGTTACCAATGGTTCCAGCTGGTGTATCAGCCAAGGGTGATGAAATATGTTCCTTAGGCCTTTGTCAGGAAAGATAATATGTTTGTGTGTGATGTTAGAAAAGGAAAGAGAGCAAACCATCTGAGTAAACTCAAATATTTTAATTTTAAAACAGCTGTTGCTATTAAGTATTTGCATTCTCTTTGCAGAAACCATGCATGTCATCTGTCGCTTAAGACTTTTTGTCTTCTGAATTCATGCTGTTATGTTCAAGGAAACCCAGTCTATGTTAATTAAAATAATTTCATGTTGTGGAGTAGGCAGTAGAACCTTGCATACCTTATTTTTATTCTTCGTTCCTGAAAATTAAGTGAATAGCAGCATCTGCTGCATTAGAAATAATTATTTGGTTTTTTGAAAAGGACAAAAGACGCCCACAATGCACATTGAAGAATGTTACATATTTGTGTTCCAGGAGTGTAATTACTTTTCCACAGTATAACTCCACAAAAGCATTTAATTTTTTCCATCCTCCTGAATTATTTCTCTCTATTAAGTTATATTTTACTCTTGCTACTTCATTAATTTTAGTAATTCTTCCAGTTTTTGAATTCCATGTACATTTTTACTCAGTTCTGAATGCTTTCAAGAATTTGAAAACCACAGAATATAGAATGTGTCTGGTGCTAGCCTAGCGTTAATTAGAAACAACTAAATATTGGCTGCATTTGAACATAATGATAAACTATTTATTGTTATGGGAATGAGTGACAACAAGCCACAGGCTTGCCCCTCCCTTTCCCTCCTCTGGCATGGATGCGAGTAGATCAGAAGCTCGCACTTCCATTTTTGATAAACTGCAGTTTATCCTTTATGTCCAAATCTGGACAAAGTCTGGTTTTCCTTAACTACAGTGTTGTTGTTTTAATGAGCCAATTTTAAGATTTGGTTTAAGGAAGAGGCTTGCTTCAACCAGCCATAGTTAAGATGAACCACAGTTTAGGGTGCAGGGATAATGCAAAACTGTGGTTTATCAAAAATGGAGGTAAAAGCTTCCATTGGGTCCTTTGTGGCAGCATGAGAAGAAGAGTGGTACGCATACCCAAGCTTCACTAGGGCTTATTCCCATAATGATCCTGTGTTGATTATCATTACGCCCAAACACTACCATAATCTATTGGGATATACCAAATTTTCCTATTGTTCAGAGAGCATTGTGCCATTTTAGGGGTGGGCAAAATGTTATCTGAAAGAACTACAAACCTTTAGATAACATTCCTTTCATTGGACAATGCCTGTGTGACATTTTAGGCATCGTGTCTCTGTTGTAAAACCACATTTCCACATTTCCAGGCTTCTGGCTCCATTTCTCTGTAACATAAGTGTCACAGGTATTTTTTCCCCCCACAGCTACAGCTGCTTCATAGATATGGCTATTCCTGGACCAAGACAACCTGTTCACAATGACCCATTCTCTTCGCTTGAGTATTTTAACACATTAATAGTTGGGATGCCCTTGAAAATGGTCCAGACTCTACAAAAAAATAATTGTGGCCACCATGATGTTGAGCAACATAGCCTATCACAACCGCATATCATTGGTATTACAAGATCTGCACTGGTTGTCTGAATGCTACCAGGGCCAACTGAAGGTGTTGCTGCTAATATATAAAACCCAGAATGACTTGGGACTCTGATATCTGAAGAAGCACCTCTCCCTTTATCAACCTGACTGGGCCCTGAGGTCTGCAAGAAAGGCCTTTCTGAAGGTCCCACCAGTTAGACATTGGGTGATGACTCAGGGTCTTTTATGTGGTTGCATCTTGGTTACTGAACTCCATTCGGCACCAACAATGCATGGAGGGGTACACCTGACAATCTATCTGTTCATTAAGTATTTTGGGTGATCCGAGTAGCACATTTGTAAGGTAGCCTGCCTTTCTGCTGTTGGTTTGACGTGGGTTATCATTTTAATTTGTTAAATTGCATTTTGATGATAAAGTTCAATGTTTGTAAACTGTTCTAGAGTTGTTTATGATTAGGAATGGTATATAAATCAATTGAATAAATATTATGTTGATGTCCTCCCTCCAAGCAGGGTGCCAGCTGAGTGAGAAAGAGCTACAGAACTGAGACCATCAACTTTAATGTTTCATTCATTCATTCTCTCTCTCTCTCTCTCTCTCTCTCTCTCACACACACACACACACACACACACATTGTGGGATCACACCTTACAGAATTGGTTCCCACTTGGCTATAAAGGCACATCAAAAGGGCTATAATCTGAATGATATGGTTGAAAAGGTGGCATAATGTGAATTGGTATGTAGAGAATCCATTCTACCTAGGGACTTGGGGTTGGAGAGCATGAAGTCCAGGTCAAATAAAATCTAGTCCTGTAATTCTGTGATCATGCTCGGTTTTTCTTCTCCTCAAAATAGACCTATTAGGCTAGTTGAAGTAAATCTGAAAGGCATGGCCTCTACACTTGATGACAGGAGATAAAGATGGATTTGGGAGTCTAAGAAAAAGTTAGGCCTTGAGGGCGGAAAATCATATTGTGCAGCCTGTAAGATGCAGCCATTTTTCAAAATAGTTTTCCATACTTCGCTGACATGAATTATGTATTAATGTTTCCTGGTTTCATCACAAGGAGCGTATGAATATTCACAAATTATTCTCTTGTGTAACCATGAATATGCATGGTCGAGCCAAGAATGGCAAAGTGTAGAACCTGATCATGAATATTTACATCCTATATAAAGTTAAACCGTGTCACTGGATGATATAGCACCTACTCTGAGATTCCTCTCTTGGTAGTAGGTGAAGTGCTGCAATATGCTAATGAAATAACCACCATTTGGCATGGAGTTTAGTGAGGAAATTCCCTCCTTCTTTATAGTCGCAAACCTTTCCCCACCAGAGAAAAAGGGATTATTGATTTCATTTTTCAGCTGAAAGCAAATAACTCTCTTACACAGCCATTTCTGCCACCACCTTCCATCCCACCATTCCAAGCCAAACAGAAATGTGACTCCAGGAAGGAAGGGGGGAAAGAGGATGTGTTCATATTACTGTTTTAAAAGACAGTGAAGTTATTTTCCCCTGATGTGTTTCAAATCACATGTGTTTGTGGCTGCACACATCATTGTGGTTGGAGGTGTTCCCAAGTTGCCTGCTTTCTGTCCACACCAGTGGGCAGAGAAAATGTGTAGATGTCTTCCTTTGCCTTACATTTTCAAATAAGATCAAATCTGGTTTGGGGGGAGAACACATGAAAATGCAGTATTTCTCAAGAAACTACATTATAGTGGGTAATGTCATATGCACAATGCTTCACAAAGCAACAGTGAGAGAGCACAGGATGCAGAGCAAATAGGAATGTGCATGCAGCAAGTAAATTAGTTTTTACATAGAATCATAGAATTGTAGAGGTGGAAGGGACCATGAAGGCCATCTAGTCCAAACCCCTGCAATGCAGGAATCTTTTACCCAACATGGGGCTGGAACCCACATCCCCATTATTAAAAGTCTCATACTCTACCAACTGAGTAATCCCAGGCTATAGCTAGTGGTCTGCATTTGCCTTTTTTCATTTCCAATTTTTATTCTCACAAAAGCAATGGCAGGTAAATTAGGCTGAGAAGTACTGACCTGCCCAATGTCACTCAATGAGCTTCGTGGCTGAGTGGGAATTTGGAGTCCTTCCAACATGCTACCTGCTACACCACAAATGTAGTGAACATTACTGACTTGATGAGCCACAAGTAGTGCACAAAGTCTGACTGTGGTTGAATTGTACCTTTCATTTGCAATATTCTAGTCCTCCTTTTGTCATTACAGTCATACCTCAGGTTACAGACGCTTCAGGTTGTGTGTTTTTTTGGTTACGGACCGCCAAAACCAGGAAGTACCGGAACAGGTTACTTCCGGGTTTCGGTGGTCGCGCATGTGCAGAAGCACTAAATTGCACTTTGTGCATGTGCAGAAGCACCGAATCACAACCCACATGTGCGCAGATGCCCACACGGATCATGTTCGCAACCCGAGCGTCCAGTGTACTGCTTCTTAGGGAATGACATGATTGCAAAGCATGCACGTCCCTAGCCACAGAAATTCAAGCAGATTATAAGATCTTTATTGAAACTAAGACATAGACATAAATTATAAAAGGAAACCATATCAAGGAATGGGTAAACAGCAACAGATGGAAACTTTATTAAAATATAATCTAAGCTGGTCTTGCCTGTGTACAGATTACCATCGCCAAATATTGCTGCGTGCAAATGCGTGCCCAGATCATTCAGAAACATATGGAATTTTTAGCTGTCACCTGAACAATGGTACAAAAGGCTAGGGAGAACATAGAAATATAGGGTGAGATCCAACAGAACGCTAGCTGCAACAGCAAGTATGGTTAGAATGTTAGCTGTGCTAGGGGTTGTGCAATATCTTGCATACGCACAAGGCATTTATTAGATGCTTCTGTTATGCTGTACTAGGAAAAGGGGCCCCACTAGCTCATGCATAGATTGTTGGTTTCCCCCCCGTTCTTTAGCTGTAAAGCATATTCAAAAATAAATCATTAAAAAATAGGCATAGGCCCATTCAAAGGCCCACATAGCTAATTCTGTGGACTCAAGGGAGTGTTGGACTTGTGTTTCTCTAACAGTATCCCCCTATGGCATACACTTTTGAAGCTGAGAATGCAACCTTATACCTCACTTAACTTGAGAATGTGCCCCATCTAACTTGATAGGGACTGCTTTTGAATAAGCATGTTATCATCTTACACTGTTAGAGAGCTTTCAAAGCTATTAAATGCATGACATAATGGTGGGATGTTCAAAAAAGGAACAAACAAAATATGCCACTAAGGATACCCAAGACTTTGGGTGCATCTAAATTAGTTTTTCAGATCTTGGCTGTAAGGCATACAATTTCTGCAGAGAATAGCTGCATTTTTTAAAAAAGGAAAAAGTGGGGTGACCAGCGGCTTACATCCTTCTCTTACTTATTCATTAAGCATAAAAATCAAACACTCAACTTGCTATATATTTCATTTAAAATTCAAAATCAGTTAGAGCCTTTCTTAGCTGTTACCTGTGCTCAGATAGATACTTGAAAGTTTCCATTTATCAGCTGGAGAACAGGGACTACAAGGAATTTTACTGTTGCTTTTCCATACAGTCAGTCCTTGAAGCAACCTCCAGATTTTTACTTCTCTGGAACACAATGTCAGTTCTGTCAGTTCTGTAATCACATTGTAAATACATTGGTAGGTGGAAGTCAGGTCATGAATAGGTGGAAGCAACCATTTCATGAAAATTCTTCCTGCTTACCCACTACTTACCCAAGTGCCACCCAGCTGTTGCCTGGGAAGGGACTTCTCTGTAGTGGCACCTAACCTGGGGAATGTCTAGCATAGTGTGTCCCATCAAGAGAAATATTTGATGCCCTCTTGCAAATAGGCAAAGGCCTACTTTAAAAAAAAATAAAAATAAAAATGTCCTCCCAAGTGCTTGCTGGTTGAATTTCTTGTTGCTTTCATCGTGGCCCTGATTCACGGGTTAGACTGAAGCTTACACTGCATTCCTAACCATGTATACTCAGAAGTAAATGCCACTGAATTCAGTGGGGACGTATGTGGGATTAGAACTGCATGTTTAGCCATGCTTAGACCCACTGAAATCTATGGGACTTAAGTTAGCAATGACTTCTTGAAGTCCCAGTGATTTCAGTCTACTCCAAACCTGACAAAGTCTGCATCCAGCCTTTTTAATACTTTCACATTTTATTTAACATAGTTGAGAATTTAAGGTAACTCATTTTGTTTCTTATTGTGTTTTATATTCTGAGCTGCCTTGATTGTAGGTTGTACAAGAAAGTGACAGCAACCAGTAAACATGATGTCACTTGTACCTAAAGTTTCCTGAAGTTGAAACAATTCAGGGCTGTTCAGTTCATGTGAATCTACCTAAAGCATTTTTCCTACCCTGCACTTTGCTAATCGGGGAACAGTTCGAACTCACATCAAGGGCTGTACATTGCAGGGGGCTGGACTTGATGACCCTTGGGATCCCTTCCAATTCTACAATTCTATAATTCTAGGACCTGAGAACATTTGGGCCCCAGCGAACGATCAAATCTTGAGGAAGGTCACCAAACCCAAAACTTTTAGCCTTCAAACACCCCCCCCCAAAGGCTCTAATGTCACCTCTCCTTTCTCCTTGCTTTAAATTTAAGCATGGCAAATATATTATGGGAAATCCAGTACGAGTCTTTATCACTCCTAATACATTATGCAGCAGTCTGCGGTTAAGCAGAACCATGCTCTCCCCATCCATTTGATCTATCTTCCCTTCCAGGTTGAAATCCTTATTCTCCGAGATAAATTTAGTCTGGAATTTCCAGGGAGGTGAAATAAATAAAAATGCCCTTTGTTGCTACAAATTTCTACTCAAAAGGTGTTCAGTGCAGTTTCACGTCTCACCGGGGACCAAAATAAATACGCATCTGTTTGCCCATGTGTTAGCTAAAGGGCAGCTTTTATGGTTTGTACCAGGGGAAGGTTCACTGCCTAAGGACAGAGTTAAATTTCTTCCCTTCTTCTAAATCTGCTTAGCCTCATAAGTTGAACACCACAACACTGTGAAGGTGCACATATTCACTCCCCCCCCCCCCGCGCCTCTCTCTCATTTGGTCATGCCTTTCTCAAACTGCAAACTTTCAGTGTTCTCAACCATCTGTTCTTTAACCTGTTCAAACATCAGCATTAAAGTTTGCGGAATCTTGTGATCTGTACTTTCCAGCTGAAAAGCACAAGAACCTGTGCCTCTGCCCCACTAATAAAATTGTGTCTTTTTTCTGCTTTTTCTACCCGCAGTCTCTGAAATCCTTTTAGAAGCCAGATACATAAATCAGATCTGCACTAGGATGGCACATCCACATACAGTATGGAAGCTGTCTATTGATACTGTGATGGCGCCAGGGTGCCTCTATTTTACCCTCACACCTTCATTTTGTCTGTAGTCATCACACTGGCAGAGGCTAGCAGCTAATGGTGATGGCCTTTGACTGCCTGGACCAGCCTCTAGCTTCCAATGGAATGGAAAGGATGCCCCATGGCCCCAGACCAATGTTCCTACACCCCAATGCAAACACCTTAGCACTCATTAATCGACAATAACAAGTGCACTGTTGTGACTTTCCACCTGGCACCAGTTCACCCATCAGGTATCTGTGATCCCCTTTTTAGAAAGCAGCCCTTTCATCTCCGCCCTTTTTGTTCCTTTGGCGAGGGGAGGAAACACATTTGCAGTAGACACCCTTGCCTTTCCCCCCTTATAATTGCCTCGTGGCTTCTGTGCTTTGTGTGCTTTCAAGAAAGCAATCCTGCTGGCAATCTCTCCTGACTTTTCTCCATTCTGCCTGTGTGACTCTTTAAACTTCAGCTGGAAGCACATCTTTGAAGTCCACCATGCAATGTTCCTGCACAATGGAAGTTCTACTGTGACCCGGGAACACCTGGTCTCACTTTGCTTTGGGATATAATGCGCTCCCAAGTGCTTCTCCTCTGCCACTCTAATCATCTCAGCAGAAAGACTGTGAAAAACGCATATATTCCCCTACTCCATTCCCCCCTCAATAAAGGTTTGCATCAATGTGGTAAAAAAATAATTAAAAAAATCACAGTCCCAATTATGTGGGAATCTTGCTGCATTTTTCCAATTGGAAAAAGCTTTGATGTGCCCTCTATGCAGTTTCTGCTTTACATGCCCCAGCTCTGGGCTTTGCCAGATGAGATGACAAAGAATTGCCCCACTCCCAGTGGTTCTGATGCTTTTGAGATTGAATTATGGAAAGAAAGAAACCTCTCAGAAGGGATGGTGCAACATTTCTTCATTTCCTGCCCTTCATCTCTAGTGACCAATTTTACAATCCAGCTCAGCAGAACCCTGATGGGTCCCTTGAGTATTCTCTGAACAAATGCATTTGGAACTTTGCAGCCACAGGACCATGATTAGATAATAAAATGCATTCAAGTGTGACACAAGGTTTACCAGAGCTGCTGACAGTCACTTGTTAACACTTTCCTGGGAGCGATGGAGTAGTACATATGCATCCTCACAAAGGCTCCCCGAGCCTCATGTTAATACCAGTTTTTAGACTGTTTAAGGCACAAAGACTATTTATAGACAATGGCTAAGCACTTTCCCTTAACTCCCGCATCATAATTTATTTCTCCTGCATCTCATCCGCACTGATCTTTCTTTCAAAGTGAGGGCTTAGAACTAATAAATAAGTAATTGCTGCTCATTATTCAGGAATGTCATTAGTAATGCAACCCATTGGAGAACTCTAATAAGAATTGAAGTACGCTCAAATGCAAACTCTACATTTTTGCAGTACTCAAGTAAAGGAACCGGAGGCCTCTTTGAAACACACATAAACACACACGTTTTGTGATTTTACAGAAAGCCACTAGGACCATGGAGAGCTGCCTTACCCCAAGTCAGAGTGCTGATCCATCTGTAGTTCAGTACTGTCTGTATAAAAGGCCTTCCGCCAACCTGGCACCTGCCAGAGGTTTTGGACTACAACTCCCATCATTCCTGGCCATTAACCATGCTAGTTGGGGGTTATGGGAGTTCTAGCCCAAAATACATGGAAGATTCCAAGTTGTGGGTGGCTGTTCCACACTTACTGTAAGAAGCTATCCATGGTTTCAAACAGGGTCTTTCACAGCCCTGCATAGAGATGCCAGGCAAAAGTATATGGCCTACCACTGACCTAAACTCTTTCCCCTTTCTCAGCATCCTCTGACCTATATGAGTTAGAGCCAGCTCTCTCTCTCTCTCTCTCTCTCTCTCTCTCACACACACACACACACACACATCTCCAGCATTTGATCACACTGCACTTTACTGACAGGCAGTTGATTGATATCCATTTAAAACAACTGCACCCCACTTGCCACTATTTAGTGAGCACACCAGCTACAAATCCACCTAACCGTTACCTTGTCCAGCCTACATTTTGCCAGCTGCTCCACAAGAATACCATGAGGGGGCTTTGTCAAAAGCCTTACTAACATCATGATACACCTCAGAGTTTTACTTTATACTATTTATTCTAGGGCTGTCCCTGATTACTGGGTTTCTCACACCTAGATGCAACACCAAATCTCTAATTCAGTCTAACTTGTCTAGGTTGTACAAAACTTAACTTATTTGTCTCAGGCAGTTCATTTTTCTCAGAGCTGTTTCAGAAGTGACAAAAAGAAAAAGACAGAATAGAATGCCCAATTGGCCTGAGTGTCCGTGTCTTGTCTGAAATTGATCTTCACATCTCTGCAGGTGATTGAGGAAAAGATGGAGAAGTGCAGGGAACAGGAAATGAAGATTAATAGTGCTTCTTTCCCTCCCCACACTCATCTGTTGCCAGCTCAAAGCGTTCGGAACATAGTCTATATACAGCTAGGCTCTCAAAACAAAATGCAGATCAAAACCAAACATATCCAAGCATAATTTATGATTTATGATCTCCCGATGTCAATTCTAGTTCATCTTTTAGTGTAAATTCACAGGTGAGGATACTTCTTCTGGTGCATTTTTTCTTAGTTTTCACTTTTCATCATTAACTAGCAAGAAAAAGATAAGTATTGGACTATATTGACTGTAACATCCAATTGTACCTATCTGAATCACTGCATGAGCAGAATGCCTTTTTGCCTTAAGAATGAAACTTTCCCTCCTTCTCCTCCCCCTGCATGCCTTCTGTATTCACCAACAAATGTGCTCTGCGGTTTCACCAGCCACCTAGAGAAGATTTAAGGGAAGGCCACGCAGTGGATGGAGAAATTCCATGAGCAGAAGTTTACCCATTCAGATATTGATTTAGTTGGGTACTGTCATGAATGAGCCAGCTCCCAGTGAAGGTTTGCAGCCAACTGAAGAAAGTAGCCAGGAACAGAGAGGCTTAACTGCCATGCAGGATGAACATCGGCTAGTGCCAACTCCCCCGCCCCTTGGAATGTCAGTTGATAAGGGAATGGCTGAGAGCAGGCTGGGACCCAGCCAATGCTCTCAGGAAGTGCAAACTGGTGGGATCAGAGAAGGAAGCAGTTTGTCAGAACGGGAGGAGATTGGAGCTGAGCCAATCCCTCCTAAGAGTAGGCTAAGGGGAGGGCTGTTAGACCGGAAACAAAGCAAGAGACACAAAGTGAGAAAGTTCAAAATCTTCTGTAACTGGAAGAAGTCTTCAGAAGGGTCATCTTGATTGATGATGGTGCAGGCTGTGTTAAGCCGTCCGGTGCTATCTGTTGTTTCGACAATAAATAATCCTTTTTAATTAATTACACTTACTGTGTCATCAAGCTGGGGACTGGATTCCTGACAGGTACAATCCTTAGTTGGAGATGACATGGAACACTGAGGTCCATGACATATCCATCGAACAAACATATATTTGTAATTGGTAGCAA